CACCACAGCAGCAACACGCGTTCGCAGAACTTCAGTCTCTAATACCAGAGCCACTGGCATCTCCCGTACGCGCCACAGCTCCAATCAGCCCCGTACCCTCGGCGCTTTCTGCAAAAACCGTCGGAACAGGCGTGAATCAAGCAGCTTCAGTGCAGGCTCCGCAGTTCAAATTTGAACGAAACCGAGCCCCTGTTCCGTCCAATCCAATCATAATCCTAAAAACACCTACTATTCTACTAACTCTACCACAAGACAATCGATGGAAAACATTCGGCCACAAAAACCCACCCATGGATGAAGTTCAGCAACCGTACTACGCACGCACGGGAAAAGCGCACCCATCCCTCACAGGAAAGCTAGAAGTTTATCAACTGTACCGCGCACAGTTCCCACCAACCGCCACCGCTCGGGATAGGGACCTTACCGCTGGCGGGCCTCTCTCCACCGACATTGGCCACAGGCGGGGCGCTCCGGCCGCCGCTCCACGGCGACGGACTCTCCCACTCCGGCCGAGTCCCTCGCCCGCCGCCGGCGACGGGGTGTGGGACCGCGCGCGCGTCGCCGACGTCTCCGGCCTCCGCGGCTGCGCTCGTGGTGTGGTGCCTGCTGCCGCGGCCTCCGCTGCTGTGCTGGGGAGGAGGATTTGGTGTGGCCTTTGATCTGGCGTCTCGTTTTTGGTCTGGTGTGTGCTCTGTTGGTTGGTTATTTAAATCCGCATATGGTGAGGAGGAGGCGCTTATATATGCGCCTTCCGTCCGCCATAAGGCCATGACCGAGGGTTAATGATGAGAGGTCACTAGTACTGCTTGACAGCGACGCGCCGAGCGATCATCTCTTGCTATAAAATTAAGAGAGCGCCAATGCTGCTCACTGATTCGGGTGGGAATGGAGAGCATTTTTTTTTTCTTCCATAAACAGTGGTTGCTGCTGGGCGATCGAATTCGGCACAAATTCATTTATTCTTATGATATTCAATTGCCAACGAACATGTAACCTAGAATCTCAACCTGATTAGATGTCCCCATCACGATGCCCCGTGTGGCTGCAGAGTCGTCTTCTTCGTCTTGCTTGCTATGTTGAGCCAAGCATTTTTTGTGTGTGTGTATCTACGTTATTATTTATTTATTTATTTCTCTTTATTATAATTAAATTATAGTTTGCGGTAAGGGCTGCTCCAGGTGTTTTTGCCTCAAGGGACCTGCTAGTTCGTGATCCTGAGACTAAGGAGGAGGCCCGTTTGGATGACATCTTATAGGGAAATTTTCATACGAGGATTAGGTTCCTACAAATCTTATGAAATCTCTTCGAAATAGCTTGTTTTATAGAAAATATCGGAGGAATTTTATCAAGAGGTCGAATCTCATGAAAAGCCTTCGTGTCATGCTCTCTCACTGAATTTTTATAGTTTTTCTACGCTTCATCCAAACATTAGGAACTTTTGTGTTTTCCCAATTAATATATATTTCAAGATATTAGGGTATTCTATTCCTACATTTTTCTTATTTCTGTATTCCTATAATCCTGCATTTCAAAGATATCCTAATTGCTGTCTGGCTGATGGCTAAAGTTAACTCAGTCTAAAGTTACACATACCACTTTGAATATATGAGCTAATATACAACACTCCTTCCATTCCAAAATTTAAGATGTTTTGATTTTGTAGTTACATATATAGATTTTGATATGTATTTAGATATGCACTATATCTAGATATATAATAAAAGTATAGAAAAGTCAAAACGTCTTATAATTTGGAACGGAGCAACTACGGTTTCAGGTAAATGTCTCTTTTACTCTTTTTATACGCGTGTGGGGGTAGGTGGGTTGGGCATTTTTGCTCTTTTTCGATCCATTGGCTCTTTTTAATCAGTTAATAGCCTAACAAAGACTGGCCTTAGCATTAGCATCCAAACAATGGCCTAAACTTGTAGACCAAATCTCAAATTTGGGTGCCGGACCTTATTAAAAAAAATACTTTGGGTACTTGAGCGGTTCAACACCAGCCAAAGATGTGGTACAGTACTTTAGTGCTAAATGAAAAATCAGTGGGGCTAATCTTATTATAGTGCAATAAAAGGAGAGCCTAATAATAATGGTAAAGGTAAGTTGGTGAGGTGATGGATCAACGTCCCTTGGTGCCAATGACGAATACTTGGCCACTTGGGGACTTGAGGTCCGGCTTCTTTTCCTTATTCCCTTCAATTAGGAGATAGCACGAGTGTTTTCTACGGTAGGTACATCGGTAGCTTTGCCTTTTAAAACATTTTCATGAATGTTTAGAGTTGGCACATCGAAATGATACGGGCACATTTGTCTCGGAGTATACTATATAAATATACAATTTTAATGCTGCCCATAGGAGCTGTCAAATCGGTTGCACGTACAGAGAGCTAGTACTTGTTTCCAGTTTGTCGGCAAAGCGAGACCCAGCTCATGCCTTCATCAGTCATCACATTCACAAGGGTCGAGGGATTCAGCGCAAGTGAGCTCTACAAATCAGGTATGGCCCTGATGGCTGTCAACTTTGTTAGCCGTTGCATTAGAAAAATCTGACGACAATCCACAGTTACTGTTCTGACTTCTGCAGCTTTTTCTACAGGTGAACTACGTCATGTTCGCTTGGCTTATAAGCTGTACTTTTTTAGCCAATAAATATTATTTTTCTCTCACAACAAATCAGCCAACAGTGCTTTCAGTCATAGCTTATTAGCCAAGCGAACAGGGCTCTAACCGTCTCGAGCTGTCGAGCGACAAATTTTAAACACGCGCGCCAATGATGACCTCTCATAGATGGCTTACACTTACACCCTGTCCTGCCTGTCTGAAAAAAATACAATAGACACACTGTTCGTTTGAGCTTGTTTGGCTGATAAGCCATGGCTGAAAGTACTGTGGGCTGATTTGGTGTGAGAGAAAAATATTATTCGTTGGCTGAAAAAGTACTGCTCATAACAAACAAGCCCAAACCCGAACAGGGCGAGAATCAGCGTGACGCGCCTAGTAGATTATCATCTGTTAAACTCAGCTATTGCCTGCCATTCACAGGGCACAGCTGGTTAGATAGAGAGGGACCGTTCCTCTTAATGGCGACTGCTGTCTGCTCACCTCGACAGTGACCACTCACCGGTTCCACACACACTGATCGACTGATGACGCTACAGAGCAAGACAGCTTGAGAAAAACGCAGTAGCAGCAACTAGCAGAAGTGCAGGAACAACAGTGTGCGTGCGTGCGTGTTTGTCATGAGTACTAGTCTTGATACTGTTCTTGAGCACAGGCTGCAGATCAAGCATCAAGGGGCTCCAGCAGCCGTCCAGCGGGCACTGTAGGTGATTAAGATGCAAGAACTGTGTGAACTTTGAATCAGGAACTGGAGATGTGTGAGCTGACTGAGTGAACAGGAAGCCAGGGATCACAGCCTCCAGTTCTGGGAAGAGAGGCGAATCAGTTCATTCACACAGGCAGTATCCGACCTGGGGATTGCCAGGGCCCACATGCAGTGCTGATACGCAGCATCTGTAGGGTGTACCATAAGGAGGTCGTATGTGGTCCAACCCTGACAGACTGTCGATCGGATTATCAAGACCAGCAAGCGTGCCATAAGGTGACTCTCCTAGTACAGTGCAGAGACGCGTCCACGAGTCAATTTGAGCTCATGGATTAGTCCTTCACGAAAATGGAAAAAGAGAAACAAAAAAGTGAGCTTCACATGTCAAGACGTACGTAAGCAAAGGCATTGCCGTGGTATGGTACTAGTGATCGGATCCATTGCTCACGGGTCAGGTCACTGTCGAAAGCCACAGCTTAATAATTTCATGATGTGAACCATGATAGATTAGGAATGATGGCACTGATAACCTGCAGGAACCGGTAGCAATACAAAGCCTATTCTACAACATCTGCTACGTAACATCAGATCCTGGACTAGGTAACCAACTGCTGACGATGCCCAGTGTCTACTGCTTGAGGACGACCGTAGCGTAGCAAGGACACCATGATTACTGTGATAATAAGCTATTAAGATTCAGCAAGGCCAAGTTTTTGAACAACCCCCCAGGGTCATCGTCATCATGGCCATCCATGAGTTTACGGCCGGTGTCAGCGGATCGGTTCAACCAACAGCTAGAGTTCACCGAGTCTTCAGCGACGCCAACATCCCGCGCTTATCGCGTCCACGCCGCGCACTAGCGCGTTCGCCTGCGCACCCGGTCTTCACGGCGCCCACGCTCCCGCGTAGTGCGCGCATCCGCTCGCCTGTATCGCAGTGGCCGAAGGCCACCATTGTAACATATATATGTACACCACTGTCGATCAATACAATCCATCCAGTTGGTCACTTCCTCTCTACATGGTATCAGCTTCTTTGATCCTCCAGAAATTCTGCTGCTCGCTCTTCCGCACCAATGGCGAACTCTTCTGTCCACTCTGACTCTTCCTCCTCTGACGACGAGTTCGTCGCCCCAGCAGCTGCTTCTGCCATTCAAGGCATCTCCATCCGCCATCACGTTCCGGTTGTCCTCGATCTGGAAGAGGGCAACTACGGGCAGTGGCGTTGCTTCTTCAACTCCACGCTCGGCAAGTTCGGCTTAACCGGCCATGTCCGTTCCCTGACTCCCTCTGCGGATCGCGATGGCGAGTGGCGCATGGTGGACTCCTGCGTCGCCAACTGGATCCTCACCACGGTGTCAAAAGGCGTCTTCGACATCATCCGTCGCGACCGCACCGACGCCTTCTCTCTGTGGAGCGCCATCGCGTCACTCTTCCAGGACAACGAACTCCAGCACGCGGTGTACCTCGAAGCCGAGCTGCGCTCCCTGCAGCAAGGCGACATGTTGATCAACGACTACTGCACCAAGCTGAAGCGGCTTGCCGATCAACTCGCCGACATCGGCCACCCCGTCTCCGAGCCCAGTCAAGTGCTCAACCTTCTTCGTGGGCTCAATCCGAAGTTCCGCTACGTCAAGCCGGTGATCACAGCTAAGTTCCCGCCGCACACCTTCATGAGCGCTCACTCCTTCCTCATGCTTGAGGTGGTCAGCATTCAACATGACGCCGCCGCCGAAGCCACACAAGCTTTGGGCGCGACCCATGGTGACCAACCTGGCAGCGGCAACTCCTCGGCGTCCACCGGCACCAAGGATGGCTCCTCTTCCTCCGGCGAGCCTCGCCGCGACAACCGCTCCAACAACAGCGGCAACTACTCCCGCTCCAACAACCGCGATCACCGTCGCGGTCGAGGAAACGGCAACACCAACGGCAACGGTGGCGGCGGCGGCTCTCGCTCCAACAACTCCAACGCCTCCACAAATCAGTCCGGCCAATGGGCTGCCGGTCACAACCCTTGGCAGGGCATGGTGCAGGCCTGGCCCATGCCCTTCCGAGCCCCCGGCGCTGGCGTTCTGGGATCCCATCCACCGTTCCAGCCGCATCAGGCGATGACGGCATACCACCAGCAAGCTCCTGCACCCGACGGCGTCTTCGACACCGGTGCTCTCTACGCGGCACTGCAATCCGCCGGCGTTCCCCATCAACCGACGAGCACATCCGACTGGTACTTCGACACCGGCGCGACGTCGCATATGTCGTCCTCCCCTGGTAACTTTCCCAAAACTGCTCTTCAATCTTCCTCTTCCTCAATCACAGTAGGCAATGGTGCTCGGTTGCCTGTCACACACCGAGCACAAACAGTCATTCCTACTGCCACTTCCCCTCTTCGTTTGAATGATGTACTCGTTTCTCCATCACTCATTAAAAATTTGATATCAGTTCGCCGTCTTACTCGTGATAATAACGTTTCGGTTGAATTTGACCCCTCTGGTTTTTCTATCAAGGCTCTTCCTTCCAGGGTGGAGATGCTCCGATGTGAGAGCCATGGCGATCTCTACCCTCTCCGATCTTCACAACATCGCGCCTTCAGTGCATCATCGGCGGCATCCTTGTGGCATCAGCGACTGGGTCACCCGGGACACCAAACCACTTCTCAGATTTTACAGTCTTTTTCTTTCCAATGTAATAAAGCTGATGCACACTCATGCTCTTCCTGCCGTTTAGGCAAGCATACATGTTTACCCTTTACTGAATCTACATCACAGTCATATTTTCCTTTTCAACTTGTTCACTCAGATGTTTGGACGTCTCTTGTTTTTAGCCATTCTGGTTATAAGTACTATGTCGTTTTTCTTGATGACTATACTCATTACCTTTGGACCATCCCTCTTCGAAACAAGTCTGACGTTTTTCACACCATACGAGCTTTCATCGCTTACGTTCATACCCAGTTCAACCTCCCCATACTTGCTTTCCAAACTGACAATGGCCGGGAGTATGACTCCACTGCCATGCGTCTCCTTCTCTCCTCGCTTGGCATTCAGCTCCGCCTTTCTTGCCCATATACTTCAAAGCGAAACGGGAAAGCTGAGAGGATTCTTCGCACTGTTAACGATTGTTTGCGTATAATGCTAATCCACAGTGCAGCTCCACTGGCGTTCTAGGCTGAAGCTCTCGCGACGGCCACGTACCTGATCAACCGTCGACCATGTTGCGCCACTGTCTCCACAACGCCGTATGCCATGCTGTTCGGTGTGGCGCCCAACTACGACGCACTTCGAGTCTTCGGGTGCCGGTGCTTCCCCAACATGATCGCCACATCCCCGCACAAACTCGCGCTGCGCTCCACGTCGTGCGTGTTCATCGGCTACCTTGCGGACCACCGCGGTTACCGATGCTACAACATCGCCACCGGCCGCGTCATCACGTCCCGGCACGTCGTTTTCGACGAGGATGTCTTCCCCTTCCACGACGACATCCACCACGACGCCGACCTGCAGCCTGTTGTGCACTCACCGACGAGCGACATCGTCGACGACGCGTCGCGTACAATGCCACCGGCGCCCCCTACCCCGAGCCTCGCCAACGAGTTGACATCTCACCCCACCCGCGCACGATCTGCGTGTCTGGGGCGTGCACCTGCCGTGACCGCCGCCGATGCTCCATCCACGCCACCAGGTTCTGTTGGATCCACAGCCACGGCGCCCACAACGACGCCGCCCTCGTCCAGCACTGCGTCGCCTGCCGCCGCGCCACCAGGCCATTCGATGGTCACTCGAACAAGGGCTGGGATTTACAAACCCAACCCGAAGTATGCATTGGCGACAACGAAGACCATCTCGCTGATCCCTTGGAGTGTGCGCACTGCCATCAAAGATCCTCACTGGTATGTTGCAATGAAACATGAATTTAATGCGTTGCAGGCCAATAGAACCTGGACCCTCATGCCTCGTCCTCCAGGAGCGCGAGTCATCATAGGCAAATGGGTGTTCAAGCACAAATTGAACCCCGATGGCACCCTTGAGCGCTACAAGGCTCGATGGGTCGTTCGTGGGTTTCATCAACGCCCCGACATCGACTTTAGGGAGACCTTCTCGCCCGTGATCAAGCCGGCCACCATACGCACCGTCCTCACCCTCGTCGCCACCAACAACTGGCCGGCACATCAGCTCGACGTCTCCAACGCATTCCTCCACGGCCATCTCTAGGAACGCGTCTCACGTACCAACCGGCTTCGTCGACCTGCGCGCGGCCCGGCATGATCGCTCTTGTCTCGCTCCTACGGCCTACGGTAAGCTCATGGCGTGGTTCAACCCGACAGCGAGCACGCGCATCCACAGGCTTTATGCGGTCGAGGGCGACGTCCCTCTTCGTACAACCGGGCAAGCGCCGACTGCGTACCTCCTCTCGTCGGCGACATGATCCTCTCGGCTTCATCGAATGCACTTCGACACATCATCGCCGACGGCTCCACGACGCTTTCACCGTCAAGGACTCCGGTCCGGTACACCACTTCCTCGGCATCGGCATTCGACGGACGCGGCTTCTTCCTCTCCCAAGCCCAGTATCTTGCGGACCTCCTCGCTTGTTGGGATGGCGAATTGCAAGCCCGTCGCCACTCGGCGGACACGAAGGGCAAGGTCTTCGCGGCCGACGGCAAGCCCCTAGACGACGTGACCTCTTACCGGAGCCTCGCCGGCGCGCTGCAATACCTGACAATCACACGTCCGGATATTACGTACGCTGTGCAACAAGTGTGTCTCCATATGCATGCGCTGCGAGATGTGCACCAGACCATGCTGAAGCGGATACTACGGTATGTCAAGGGCACTGTCCACCTTGGCGTCCAGCTGCGCGTCGTCTCCTCCCCGACGATCACCGCCTATTCGGACGCCGACTGGGCCGGCTGTCCGGACACAAGACGCTCTACATCGGGTTTCTGCGTCTTCCTCGGTTCCTCTCTCATCTCGTGGTCGTCCAAACGGCAAACCACGGTTTCGAGATCGAGCGCCGAGGTAGAGTACCGCGCCATTGCCAACGCCGTTTCCGAGTGCTCTTGGCTCCGGCAACTCCTCGGTGAGCTACTGTACAAGGTTCCATCGGCGACGGTTGCATTCTGCGACAACATATCCTCGGTATACATGTCTCAGAATCCAGTTCATCACCGGTGAACCAAACACATCGAGCTCGACATACATTTCGTCCGGGAGAAGGTTGCCATTGGCGAGCTCCGCGTCACTCATGTTCCCAGTGCACGGCAGCTAGCAGACGTCTTCACCAAGGGACTACCTTCGGCGCTCTTCCTCGACTTCAGAGACAGTCTCTTCATCACGAACGGTGACGTCGAGACTGAGGGGGGTGTCAGCGGATCGGTTCAACCAACAGCTAGAGTTCACCGAGTCTTCAGCGACGCCAACGTCCCGCGCTTATCGCGTCCACGCCGCGCACTCGCCGCGTTCGCCCGCGCGCCCGGTCTTCACGACGCCCATGCTCCCGCGTAGTGCGCGCATCCGCTCGCCTGTATAGCAGTGGCCGAAGGCCACCATTGTAACCTATATATGTACACCACTGTCGATCAATACAATCCATCCAGTTGGTCACTTCCTCTCTACAGCCGGCACCGGACACCATGAGTCCATGAGTCTAATTGCGACGTTAACGTACGCGCGCGTACAGTACTTATCAGGACAGGCCGGGCCATGGCCGTCCCTTGTACGACTGGCTAAAGGCCACGGTGCCAACAGAAGAAAAAAGGAAAACTAACCATGTTCCTAACGCAACTTTTTTAGCTTTCCCATATCATAATTGATTCGCTATTACTCTTTTGATTGTTTTTGCGAGAATCGGTTCGGCACTGACTAGTTGATGATAGAATTGAATACTTGCATGATCGAACGAACGCTGTCGCAGAGGTTAGGTGTACCATTGGCGTCAACAGAAAGAAAAAAAAAAGCGAGATAGATGCTGAAGTGTCTCCCTTCTCGCTTCCTCTTTATTCTTAGACAGACTAAAGGAAAGGAGATGCAGATGCGTAATCTTTTGTAGGTTGCTATTTTGATGTCTACGAAATGCTTAGCCCACTTAATTTGTGTTTTCCAGACACGAGGTTGGACAAGGACGGTACAACCACCAAGAGATGAGCTAGTATCCGAACGCACAAAGGATACGTTCGAAAAAAGAAGAGTATAGGCACACAGATATCATGTACAGAGTATATGGACTATATATGAAGTTCGCGCCGTGCACCATACACGCTAGGTAATGATTTCTTCTCTCTCTTTTTTTGCAAAAAAAGTAGTATCTTTTTATTTCAGCTAGAGATCTTGGATTGCAGCCTTTTATAGTCCCTAGTTCAAACAATTATGTAGTCTTAACACGATATTCCACGGTCCAACTTGTTCGTTCGTATTCCACAATTTATGAACAATTTGCTCAAACCTTACTTTTATAATATTGTGGCAGACATATTATATTTTTAGACCCTCCCTATAAATTGCCATTTATAATTCCTAATAACTAGAATAGAAAGGGCATATTAGCTAACACTATTTGTGATCTCGGCTGGACCGAAGCCTTGCGAGTAGCCCTCCTCGTCCTTTGTGGATGCATCAGCACCGGAGAGAGGTGGTTTGCTCTACCCGTGGTGATGTGACCTGTGCCTGGCCCTGCTGAGGCGACACCGAAGGCGAGTTCTGAGGGGGAGGGGGTCTGGAACCACCGATTTGGTGTGCTAGGTTGACATCAGTCGTCTTCCTACAAGGCCGTAGGTGCAGGCACAGGTCACCTCCGACGGGGCCACATCTGCCGGGCGGGCGCTGGCAGGCACCCAGTGAAGGGCCTCTCACCGTCCAACTAGTAGCGATCGAGGCTGCGAACTCCTTCAGCATTGGGTCCTCTGTGACGTCATGACCAGCAAGAGTGATGTCGTGGCACGACTTCAATGTCAACTGGTCAAGCTCGGCTAGGCACATCCCGTTGGTCGGCTAGCCGCGATTGGCCTGAACGACTGCAACATCGTCACGGGTTTCACCCACGTCATGTATTTGTTATTCAATCGAGTATGCCCTTCGCGAAATTTGGATTTTGGGCTACTGTAGCATCTTCGTTTTTATTTGGCAAATAATGTTCAAACATGGACTAATTAGGCTCAAAACGTTCGTCTCGCAATTTCCCACCAAACTGTGTAATTAGTTTTTCTTTTCGTCTACATTTAATGCTCCATGTACGGGCCACAAACATTTGATGTGACAAGTACTGTAGCAACTTTTTAAAATTTAGGGTGAAACTAAACAAGACGTATGTGAGAAATACATTTGTTGGGATTTCACCCACCTCTCTGACCTAGAGGACCTCAGCCACGCCCTAGCGTAGAGGACCTCGGCCGCCATCACCCCAGCCTAGATGGGCTCCATAGCAGCCCTGGCCTTGTGAGGAGTGTCAGCCAACAGAGAGAGGCACACAAAGAGAAGAGAAGGGAAGGTGTGGTGGTGGAGGTGCCTGTCGGAGTGCCAGGTGAGAGAGAGAGATGGTGGGTGCAAGAGGGAAGAGTGAATGACCGATGAGAGAAAGAGAAGTGAGGAGTGTGTGGGAGCCTGTTTAGACAAGAGAGAGAGAGAGAAAAGATGACATTTGGTTTGAGAAATGAGGTAGTCATTTTTTTTACTTTTTTATTTGATTTGTGGAATGAAATGGGTTGATCAATCACCACATTTTTTTTACAAGCTAATAATTAGTATATGTACGAGGAATGAGCTGATTACACCAAATTTCAGGGCCTGTTTGGAACAAAGGTTTTTCGTAGAAAAAATGAAGGAAACGAAAACGGAGGAAAGGAAGACAAGGAGACCGTTTGGAACCAAGGAAACGAGCGGACCCTTTCCTCTGAAAGCCTGTAGCAACAACACGGTTTCACAGGAAAAAAAACATCTGCTCTTACCTCGGGTTTCATTTTCCTTCGCGCTTGCCCGAGGAAAATCAAATGAGAAGAGAGAATCGGGCAGCTAATACAGTATATATTATCATTTCATTAAGCACTAATAATGACTATAGCATTCACAGTCTTATGATTCCTGTGCCATGTATTCCTACGTTCCAAACGCTCATTCTTAGTTATTTCCTACGTTTTTCCTTTCTTCTGTTTTACCACTACATATTCATCCCATCCCTGTATTTTTTCATATTCCTATGTTTTCAATTCCTATGTTCCAAATAGGCCCTCGTAGGATAAACTCATGATGCATCACTTCATATAAGATGTGGTGCCTTCACAAACCAAACACATCATTAGTATTTTTTTAGCTACCTATAAAACTATTAGCTATGATTCAAATATTTATAGACTATTTTTTAGCTAAAATCAATAATTAATTTTAGTTCATCCAAACAGGCTGCCGGTGGACCACCAACGGCACAACCTGACAGCCCACGGGCAAGGCTTACATTCCATGGAAGGACATCATGTCCTAGAGGCACTCGTTGTCGAGAGAGAGAGAGAGAGAGAGAGAGAGAAGTACTAGAGGCACTAGGCAGTAGCTAGAAGACATAGGCGCCTGGTCAAACCTTGTTGGTCCAGCTCCAGCAGTCCAGCTAGCTAGCTGAGCTGGCCGGAGAAGCATATCCCTTCTCCTTCATGTGCCTGGAGCCCTGGAGAGCAGGAGAGGTCGAGAGTCGAGACGGCCACCAGCAGCTAGCGTGCCAACTTGAAGCCAAGTACGCACGTCACAATCGCAACAGAAATTCAGTGGCGCCAGGCTGCGTGTCAAGTGAGCGCCATGTGCCACGGCCGGGGCCCGGGTCGATGCCAGGATGGACACCCTGCCGGATGGCGGTGGTGCGCGCGCCTAGATCTGCAGCAACAACGCCCTTGTCTTGTTCCACATGGAGATGAAGTGTACTCAAACGACGCTGCAAATGGCGAGTTCTCGCCCGAGGAAATCGACCGCAGGCCCGCGGCCTTCGCCCAGAGCCGTCGGCACCTCGTTGAAACGCTGAAACGGGTGGCGGACGGGGAGAACCGAAGTGAGGCGGTGGGACGCCAGGTCATGATTGGACCAGTTCATAGGAGCCGCCAGCCCGCCACCCATGAATTTTCTGGAGCGCCAGGGAACGTGCGGGCTCTGTGGTCCACGGCCCTGGGAGTCTGGGTTGCATCGAGTAGGAAATTAAACGGGGAGTGATCAAGTGGCGGCTTTCGGCGCGCACTTGGGCACTCGAGCGTATCGGCTCGTGTAGTTGCCCATTTTTAATTGCCACTGGTCAGTGCCAGTGCGAGCGAATTAGCCGGAATTTTCTGTGCGCGTGGGTGGCATCGGCCGCGCTGTAGCTTGGATAAGGTCGTAGCATGTGAGGAAACCGGAAACCGCACGCCACGCAGCGGCGGCGGCGGCGGCGGCGGCCATGTTCTGTGTCATTGTGCACATCACATGTACCTAGATCACGCAGCAGGTCGCGGGCGGATGGTTTCCGTTTCGAGCCAGCGTACATTTTTTTGACAACAGAGCCAGCGTACATTGTGTCCACCAAGCGACCAACAGGCAATAGTGTGGGAGAACGAATGGCCAACCATGTTCAATTCCTTTACTCGGAACGAAGGTAACTTACCGCCCAATGCTATACCGTGGAAGCGGCCCAATGCTCCAGAGTCCAATATACTTATGGCCCATTAACATAACTGCAAAATCTCCAATGAATTTTATGAACGGATAAATCTTTGCCTGACTATAAAAATCACAAATCCTCTCTTAAAGAAACACAACGGTGTACTTGGTGGGGCTTACTGAGCGGAGCACCTTTACTGAAGTTGGTACCTAAAGAGTTAAGACTACAAACGGAGTAAAATTGAGCAAGCTTTCAAAGATCTCAACAGGTTTCCATACAAGACAAGCAATGTACACATTTACAATGGCGAAACGACACAAACTGGACGCCTACAGCTGACAACATTCAACACAAGACTGTCCACTTATTACCTCCATTTATAGCATAGGGGTCATGACCTATGATAGTTTATCTTTTCCTTACAGCTTATTGTTCATTTTGGCCGGGGGATGCTGGGGAGACGAAACAGGAGTCTCATACCAGGCTACCAGCCTGATGACTACATTCTTACAGCTTTGACATGGGACGGCTCAAGGTTGCTTCAATGGTTCCGTGTGGTTCATCCGTCGGCAGGTACACATCATCAGCAAACTGATCAACACAAAATATATCTCAGTTTACGTTGATAAGATATGAAAACTCTGAATAAGCTTAACATGGAATAGAGCACAAGAATGTATAAACTACAACTGGACACTGTACATTTCTATCCTGGAGAGTAATTCAATAGGCAGAGAGGAAACAACAAAATTCATAAATTTTATACAGTAGAGGAAATTTTACCTTCACCAACGGAGTTTCTTTGCTCCCCAAGTTGACAGGCAGAAAGTGAAGGTTCGGCATTCTAAGCTGAATCGACGATATATCTGGGAACCTTTGAAGTGCACATGTATATTCAGTGCAACTCATCAAAGAAAATTGTGTACATATTTTAAGGGGCTGAAAAACAAGAGACGACCAAATCAGAGTTACAAACCTTGTAAGAACTTCTTTGGCCATGAGGTATAGTGTATTCTGTACAGATGGACTATACACACCAACATCAGCAGGGCCAAAGAACGTCTCTGCAAGAACTTTCTTTACATCCTGATATCTTTGCGTAAAGCAGAATGGCTTTGATGGTAGCTGCGAAACATGTTCAAAAGGATACCTGGATACAGAAAAAGGAAGTGCACGCAAAACAGCATGACCCATAAATAACTGGATATCCCTGTCTCATTTCTTGCTATTTTGCAAATTATAAAGTTATGACTTCTGAATACATGACTTGTAGACATGTAGATGAATTCCTATCAGCTGGAATTCCCAAAAATAAAAGATAATCGCAACATCTGAACTACAGTAGTGGCTTGTCCAAAACATTGTAACAGCATTGTTTCTCAACTGTATGTAGATAGAACAATTTAAATTGAAAGATGGTCTAAGAACTCAGAAGGGAAGAGAGTTACCTCCACCAAGCAGTTACTTCTGTTGCTACTATCCTTTCCCTTGTATCAGGAAGAAGTCTATAGCGATCCGTCACAAACCCTTCAAACCCAGACTG